ATTTTGTTCACTCTAGCTATATTACAATGCTAATTTTGCAGATAAAAGCCATATTATCCAACGCCTATCATCCCATTTACCATCATGAAATAAGGCTAATAAACTTGAAAATATTCCATGCCAAGAAATGGTAACTTTTAAAATGGTGGCCTTGCAGAACTTCCGCCCCACCCGAACAAATCAGCTGAAAAGAGATAATTTGGGGGTTCATTTCCACCTGAATTCAAGAAAGCGTCACCACCACCGCTGCCATTACCGGCACCCTCACTCACATGCCCACCGCCACCTCCGGCTGTGACGCTGGATGATTGCGAAGCAGCAGGGGGAGTCTGAGCAGGTACTTCTTCCTCCAAAGGCAAGCGTTCAAAAACTGCATTTGCAAACGAAGTGGCCACCAGAACCACCGGACCTGAAGCAATCAAAGGGCCCACTACGCTCCCACCAACCATCTGCCCCTGCCCTCCAGACAAGAATATCGATAAACCGCCAGCACCTGGCGGCGCAGGAGGCGGAAGGACCGTCCCGGAAAGCAAAAGTAACTCGAATCGGCCATGCAGTGTCATCACATTCCCCGTAGGTGCCGCCGGCTGCCGCAGCGTGACATTCGAAACAGTGCCACTTCCACTGAGAATACAAACCCCTCTTCCCCTCCGCCTTGCGTATACAGATACATTCTCCACTATATCGCAGCCAGCTGACACTTCAAGAACATGAGCTCGGAGAGCATTTGGGTTGTCCCTGGTGACAATCGTTGGAGGCTTAGGCTTGTTCTTGGAACCAGGAGGTCGGCCGCGGGAGCGGCGGTTTGGGGTGGGCGTGCCACCGGAGCTGGTGGTGGTAGCGGCGTCCGTATCATTTTTTTGGTCCTTCTCAGGCGAGACTTCCGAATTTGAAAGCTCGGCCCCTGTATTAGTCTGGTGTGGGACAAGTGATGATGGTCTCTGCAAATGGAGCTCCGAGTTGAGAATCTGATGAAAGTACAGCGAACCTGATCCTTGCTCGTACCCCGCCATTTCCACATCTACTCAATTCCGATCATTTACAGTAAAATAACAATTTTCAGATCCCCAGTTGAAGGGCTATTGACTAAAACCAAAATTGTAATCCATTATTTTCTTCAACTACACATCATCGTTGAAATTCAGCAACACACTGTAGTCATCAATCCACTTCATCGCTCCAACTTGGATGACAGAAAAACCAAAAAAAGATTCAAACCCATTGACTCAAAGTCAAAGAACAGCAGCACGATTAATCTAAGCCCAAGTTAAGAATGAAAAATTTTGAAACTAAGTCCACAAGACTCAATTTTTTTTATTTATTCTTTTCTTTTTTTCCAATTTGGTGAAGAAAAAAAGAGGGTGGAGATACTTACAGATGAAGAAAAATCTTGAAAGATATTCTGAATTCACAGTGTTCAGTGGTCAAGTAGCAAAGCGAGGAAGATGAGATGAGTAAAGAAATGAAATGAAATAATATTTTTATATCAATTAACACTCGAACATGACCGGCCACGCGCTTAAAGAACAGTAGGGTTTGACTGTAAAATGGAACCAGAGGCACAGTGTGCAGTAAAAACTGGCAATTCTTTGTCGAGACAAACGATGCCGTCGTGTCAAGTTTTGGTGTAAAGCACTGGGTTTTTGTTCGTTATTACCGTAAATCTTTTTAACTTTCATAAAGGATAAATTTGATTATCGACACTTACAGTTTTGTCCTACGAGTATTCGATATTGATAAAAAGGTATAAGTAGACTATAGCGATAAATATTCTCTTTACATTAAGACGTTACTTGAAACATATGTCAATTAAATATTATCAGTTTGATTCTCTAGTCACTCCACTATTATTGCCCATCAGACATTAATGATATAGTCGAGGCCTAAAATGCAAGTGAAATAACTAAGAACAACATCTTGGACGTAGACTATTTTGTTGGCGATGCATTAATTTCAATATTGATAATGTCAAGATTCAATAAATACACGTTATCAATAGTTTAGTGTTAGTTGACACTCAATGAGTTAGTCCAATCTTGAAGTGGGCAATGGTGATGCTAAGAAAAGACTATCAAAAGCATGATTTTATGTTTATCCCTTAAAGAAAAACGTATATATTTAAGAACTTCTCAATTATACGTTCACTTTCCAGTCCAAATAAAATTTCAATTATCAATTAAGGGGAGGATGTGGGTTGAAGGTAGATATGTATTGGTAGGGGTGAAGTTTAACTTCTTTGTCTTCCTAATTAAAATTTACGGTTTACTTATTGAATTAAACCAAATGTACAGAAAATTGGTTTACAAAACTTCTACCACCTCTCACATGAGGTGGGTCCCATGTGGGACCGAGCTCATTAAAAAATGAATAAAAAATTTGCCGACCCCACGCCTTGTGAATGATCGGTGGGGGTTCTGTCTGTAAGCCAAGCAGAACCACTACACCAGAAACCGCCTATGTTAACGTGCGAAAAACGTTGCCATAACCTTTTTGAAGCATTTGGGTGCACGTTACGGGCTTTGACGTCGCCATAAAGTTCCAACTTTTTACAACTTTCTTCGAACGTTGCTGTAAATTATTTTACGCAACGTTCGGCGAACATTGCCGTATGCATAGACTTTCCGCAACGTTCGTCAAACGTTGCAATAGACCCTTTTAACAACGTTCGACGAACGTTGCCATAGACATAGACTTTCCGCAAATGATGAATATGTGGTTCTCACTTGACAATACAATAGAGGTTCACAAGGTTTTTGTCACAAAAGACTACTTTTGCAACCAGATTGACATGTTGATAACTGACTTGCTGTTTTTTTCAATTGTTAGTGATTGAAATGCTATTAGGTAACAAAATGAGAACTAATCCTAATAATTTTTCCTTTTTCTAATTACTTCTCAAACATCTCAGTTGTGACTTCTAGTACATTAAGAAACCATTCCACCAAGCCACGGTGAGAAACGAGAAGAATCGTAAGAGAAATAGAAAGGATGCCCCAATGAAATAAATGCGAAAATTCGAAAAAAAAAAAAAGAGAAGAAGTTGTATTATTTAAAGATTTCTTTTTTGATATTATCAAAATTATTATTATCAATGTACGTAGAAGAATAATGCTATCTAGAATTATTGTTACATAATATTAATTTAAGTGAAGTAACGTCACTTCTACATTATCTAATGAAATTGTGATGCATTTTTATTTATTTGACAATCTAACAGTAATTTTATTGCCTAGACTACTATTAATTGGTGCTAAATGGCATGATACTAACATGTGTCTTCGTTGAATCAAAGTATATGTATGATTCAACAAATTATTTTTTTTTTACTAATTTGGTTTCATAAAGATAGAATTGCTTCCTTTTTTTCATCAGTCACAAATTGTAGATCACTTTTCTTGTTAAGAGTATAATTAATTTTTTAATGTATCTTGCTATCAACAAATATACACACATACACAAGCAAAAATATAAGTAAAATTTAACTATATTAATAACATTTTCTTAATCTATGTAAAAATGAAAGCAATCATATTACAATCGTGCTACATGTACATAATCATTCACACAATTTTTTACACCCTCCTCACATGGAGGGGTCCCACACACAATAAAATATTCTTGTACACTATTCATGTTAGACAGATGTACGTACACCTGGTGTACAAACAGTTTTATCCATCATATTAACAAGAGAATAGAGAAGCTAGAAAATACTAAGCTCGTTCTGCAATAACCCCACTGCGCACCCCATGAAGCTTTAGTTGGAAGGAAGACAAAACCTGGAATCCAAACACACTCTTTTGTGCCACACGATTGTGCTTTCCTGTTATATGAGTTATAACATCCTAAATTCAGACCAATATCCACTAAAACCTACGAGAGGGGGACTCCGCAACCTCTAGGATGGAGGTAATATAATTATAAATTGACAATAATTAAAAACTATTAAGTCTCTGTTTGGTGACATTTTTTTGGAAAAATATTATTTTGAATAGTAAATTTTTGGAGAATGTTTGGTTAAACAGTAAAAAAAAATTGAGTTTATTTGTAGAATATTTTATTTTATAAATGTATTGTTGAAAATGAGTACGTAAACAAAAGAGATTCAAAATTGTAGGATGGACTAAAACTTATGTTAGAGAAAGTTGAATATAAAAATTGAGAGGTCAAAGTAAGAAGAGGTGTGAGAGGACGTGGAGGTTGTCGGGTCATTGTAACTTGTCAAATTTACTCATTAAACCTTATCTCATTCGTCAGTCAATAGAGAAGACTCATCCCAATCCATTCACTTACGGTCATGCACCGGTTGTGTACCGTCCTCCTCACAAGATGGGGATCCACGATGTTTTTTCCATTCAATTATTCAAACTCCATAAATAAATAGGAATTTCAGGAGCAGAAAATCGCCTATCAAACAATAATGTCTTGTCAATCTAATTCATTCAAACAAATGTCCAAAAACTAGTCCCCACCCACAAATTTCATTTCCCATGCCACTCAATGAATTCCTGGCCGCCGGAATTTTAGCCCTTGTATGACAATAACTCCTACTACAGATAAGGGGAAATGATGTTTGTCCAGGGCTTTACCAAACTAACTCAAAACCTGAGAATAAAAAATTAAGGTGAATGGTCTATTATACCATTATTTTAGGCTTTAACTATTTTAACCATTATTTCGCTTTTAATTGGTATCACAGTCTATTAACGAAATTAAAGAAATTTTTTAAAATGAATATTAGTGTATTAAGTAGAACTAATAGAATTAAATTATATGAATTTATCAATAAATTTAAGTACCGAATTTAA